TCTGAGGTGAATTTGGAGAAAGTTCCTGCCCAGGAGACACTTCTGAGGAATTTGAGGGAATTTTATACTGCTAATATTTCCCAGGGGGGGGGCATAGATTAGAACATTCCTCTGAGCAATAAGGAATTATTTTCGCATGAGCTGGTCCATTTAGTTTAATACCATCAGACAGCAGTTTCCCCCAAATCTGATGCTACTTTCCAAGACACTTTTAAATGGAGGTGGGGTTTTCTGCAGATTTGTTCCAATTCAGCAGTAAACAGCAGTGTCAGACCTGTGACTAGAAATCACAGGGCCAATGGAAGGGTGGATGGACCCCTTGTCCAACCCTGAGCTACAATCTCTATCTGAAATAAATCTCAGATGCTATTTTCAGGTGAGATTCCATCACATACTGGCAAGTTCAGATTCAGGTAGGTAGCCAAGTTGGTCTGACACAGTAAAAATATATATATATAAAATAAAAATTGCCCAGTAGCACCTTAGAGACCAACTAAGTTTGTTCTTGGTATAAGCTTTTGTGTGCACGCACACTTCTTCAGATAGCAAGTTCAGGTTGCACAATTACAGCCGAGTGGGAGGTCTTGTATAACAAACTTGCTTCTCAAAAAAAATAAAATCAGTTTTTTGTGATAAGGAAAATGACAAGAAAATGCACTGGAAAGTGTGGGACAATACCCACAAACAAATCAGCATGAATGCTCAATAAGTAGGTCAACTGGAACATGGGCATAGCCAGGATTTTTGTTAGGAGGGACAGTTGCGACGTGATTAGTCAGTTAGTGAAGTATTTCTGTTGTTTAACTTGATGGGAGGCAGCTGCCCCTCCCTATCCCACCCCCGGCTACACCCATGTCTGGAAGTGCCTTCAGAGTCCCCAAGGGAGCTCCAAACTTACATTCCTGGGAGTGCAAAGCAAGCAGTTTTGCCATTAGCCATGTTAGTTGCTCAGGGGCCCCACCAAACTTCCATTCCATTCCATTACACACTTCATTGCACATTGTGGCCACACAGGATCCTGCTTTCCATACTGCTTGTGCCTGCAAAAGTTTTGAGACAGCCACATTGCTTCATGTTCACTCAGCACAGATCCCATAACATCCTCCTGAAGTCCCATAGCTTTTTATGCCACAAATGTCCTGGTTTATTTTTGTCCTGCTTCTGTTGCACTATAGCTCCTCCAAACAGCAATAATGTGGTAGCATTGGAGACCCATCACAGAATAAATCCACCACTATTGCACTATTATTGTGTCAAGAACATGTTGCAGAATAAAGCACCAGTCACAATAAAGCACCAGTCTGGAGAAGCCCTCAAAGAGACCCAGAACTACACAAGAACGAAATGAGATAAAATGCAGCCCTAACTCCATTCTAACACCTTATTTCCAACTCTGCCTCCCAACTTCAGGATGGGAATTAAATTATCCTCTTTGGCATTGTTCTTCCTTGTTACCTAAAATCTTAGAAATATGCAACAAGGCTTAAATAACCTATGTTATTAATGTTCCAAAGCAGCTGAAAACATTGTCAAATGAAAAGGATTTTGAGAAATGCCTGAAGATTTAAAATGGGGGTGGGGAGGGGAAGAATGAGGTGAGGAAAGGAGAGCAGCCTCTTTCCCCCCCTTTTAATAAACCCTTTAGAAAAGATTTACAGTGCCGATAAGTGAACAAAGAGCTAAGATGAAAATAGATCTGAGACTCGGAGCTGCTATAGATCCGTTTAATATAGGTGTTTGTTACGTTTCAAAGACAACCGGGAAGGCTCCAGCAAGGTATTCATGTGGGGCCCCAGTCAACCTGGAAGGCTAAGGTGAGGGGAACTGAAAACTAAACAGGTACCAAGGGGTAAAAGCAAATAGGGTGCCCAAGGGCCAAGGTGCACATATAATTCTTGAATTGGGGGAAACCTAACAAGGAAAAGTGTCATTGCAATGCACACTACGGCACCTATGCTGACCCCAGTGCTGTGCGACTGATTTCCTCTTAGTTTGCTGGTTTGTGACGCTGCTGGAAAGGCAGGCAGGAACACAGGATAGGTCAGCCAGCCCCACTCCATCTGTCTGGGCACGTCACAAACTCCCACCTGCCCTGGCTGTGGCACCTGTGCTGCGGGTTGGTCGCCCACATCCTAACACCTGAGAGACCCTACACATTTTACTTATTTGAAATGCTTCAAGTGTCCCACTGATAACATGGCTACCCCAAGGGTCTGGTGGGAATGCCAGACAGTGGCAGCAAAGTCAGGCCAAGACAGTGTGGGGCCCTTCTGAGTCCCCCCAAACCCCTAGCCAGTGCCCAACTTGGCCAAACTCTGGCACTTGGCTTGCTCCCAGGGACTGTGCTGAATGCAGAATCACCCTACTGTACTAAAAAGGTAAAGGTACCCCTGACCGTTAGGTCCAGTTGTGGATGACTCTGGGGTTGCAGCGCTCATCTCGCTCTATAGGCTGAGGGAGCCGGCGTTTGTCCACAGACAGCTTCTGGGTCGTGTGGCCAGCATGACTAAGCCGCTTCTGGCGAACCAGAACAGCATACAGAAACACCATTTACCTTCCCACTGGAGCAGTACCTATTTATCTACTTGCACTTTGATGTGCTTTCAAACTGCTAGGTTGGCAGGAGCAGGGACCGAGCAACGGGAGCTCACCCTGTCGTGGGGATTCAAACCACCGACCTTCTGATTGGCAAGCCCTAGGCTCTGTGGTTTAGACCACAGCGTCACCCGCTACTGGACCTTATTTTTCCTGAAATTATCCTGAGATTCCATATAAGTTTTGAAGTCCCAGGTTTTTTCAACATGGTTGGGAAACACTGCTTGCTTTCTGTAATGTTCACCATCCTGAATGGGGTTGTCTAGGCCAAATTCTTATTTTCATAACTGTTCCTGAGAAATCTGGTACTTGCCTCTCATTGGGACAATGGTGAACTTTCCCTCTTCCTTCTCTTCCCCCACCCACACATTCCATTCTATGCGACAATTTCATGCTGCTAGCTCCTTTCCTATCTGTCACACCCAATTTGGCATTGCTGCTTCGAGGGGAGAGATGTCCGTTATTATTTTTGTCTGAAGCGCCATCAGCGACTCGTCCCCCAAGCTGAGATTTGTTGTCATCCACCTACAGAAGCTGCAGCTGTCACACTGAATTCCACTGCCCACTCCGGCCAGGAAGTCGATTCGGAAGGGAGCTTGGCAGGTGTGAACTTGCCCCTCGCCCTCCTCCACACGATGTGGAAAGCGCACGTTCCCACAATGCACCTCTCTGAATATTGTTTTGCTCTGGTTAAGACCATATGGAACCCTTACATTCTATCACTTTCTTCATCAGCCACTGGGGTCAAATAATCTTATGTGCATCTGTTAAGTTTCACCCTGTAGCTAAAACAGCCCCTGGAGGGGCTAAGACTGAAAAACAAAACCACCCAGTGATTATGGTTCTTTTCCCATTTGTGAAGGACAGGAAGTCTGTTACAGTAATACAGGGATGAGGAGCCTGAGGGCTTCGATATTACTGGACTGCAGCTCCTTTCATCCCTGACCACGGATCGTGCCGGCTGGGGCTGAGAGTCCAAAAGCTTTGGAGGATCACAGGGCAGCCACCACTGCAGTAAACTTTCACCTGACGCAGTAAATATTTGAGGCAATATTTCCAAAAGAGCATTGACATTCGTCTACAGCAGCATAACACAAACATTATTGGGCTGTATTTGCGGGATTCAAGTCCCTCCCAACATCTACTGAGTGGTTCTCAAAGGGCGTGGTGCACCACACGGCAAGTGGTAGGGAAGATTCAAGGACAAAGAAACATTTAAGCATTGCTGTGCTGTATAGTATAGTATCAAAAAATGTTTTTCTATTTGCAGAATATGGATAGATATATTTTCAAAATGGGAGCAAGAGCAGTGATACTGCCAGCTCACACCTCTCATTGAGTTTGCATACATAATTAAAGTATGTCTAGGGTTGCCATACACCTGGGAATTTCCAGACATGTCATCTTTTGGGAGGCCTACATACCCCTCTGGGGGGAATTTTACCTTTTAAAGCAAATGTCCGGGATTTGCGGTGGGGGGCGGCCTGGGGTGTACGGGTGGCTCTGCTTTAGGCTCTGGCTCAGAGCAGCTAAATTGCAGCTTGGAAGCCAAATCATGTGCAATTCTGACTCTATTCTTGAAATTAAAACAATGTTGTGCTGCCAAATACAGCAGTTCTTTCCAAGGATATCAGGACAAAAGGAATGAGGAGGTGGAAGGGGAACCAAAACAGTTTTATTAATAAATAAAAAGCAGGCATGCAAAGCATAAAATAAAACATACCCGACAGGGGCCACCCAATCTCCCCTTCAGCTACCCGGAGCCCTAGGTAGAGCACAGGAGACCCCGACCGTCAGGTCCTTTGATCTGGGTAGAAGCTCTCTGGGCCCCTCCCCCTATGGCTTTTACAGCCTGCCTTGATGTAATCCAGCGCACCTGGCATTACTCAGGATTAGCCCAGGACCCTGAGATGGAACTAATACAGAGCGGCTGAGAGTCTCCCACTACCTGCAGCCGGGCATCCAGCCAGCACTTGCAACACAGAAGAACCCAAGAAACTCCCGACAGGTGTGTGAAACACCAGAATCCAGCAGCACTCAAACTGGGGATGTTAAAGGGAAAGGGACATGCCACCTAACTCCTCGAAATACAATTGTCTTCCGCATTTCCACTACAAATGTCCAAACACTTGTTAAAATATTCAAAAGCTTTTACTTGCAGACCATATGGTTAAAGAAGAATATATGCAAAGTATTTACATTCACTTGCTTATCCAAGCATGGACTTAGTTTTCCTTAGCTGAAGATCACAGCTTCTGTGTTTTTCCCTCTTTCCAGTCCTTGCCCTCAGCCTTCTGCACATGACCAGCTGGGCCAGGGAGCTCCTTCTGAGAGGTTTCCACCTTATCCTTCCAGCAGACTTCTCCTGACTGGGAGAACACCAATGTCTGCATTTCTTTCTGCCACAAACATTCACACAGAAACATGGGCCTCCTCTCCTCTATTGTGTCTCCCCTTCAGAGTTCATGGACATGCAGCTATTATAATCAAGTCGCTCATACTCAAAACAAAATGGAGAATGGAATAAGGACACTTTCCATGTGACCAGAGTTAACCGATCACACAAGAGTTACTGAGGAACATTCCAGAATTAAACAAACAGTAATGTGTACAGTTAAACATTCCTAATTTCAGTAAATTAAATTGTTACAAGGTACTTTACAAGATACATATATAAGAGGCTTGTTTGTAATTATATTTTGGGAAGGATTCATGTTCTTATGTAGCTGCACTGTTTTATACTTTCTGGATGCTCCGTGATCGTATCCTGAAGTAGTTGTGTTCTGGGTTATCAACGGAGTACTGCTAGTTGTTGTTTCTCTTTGTTTTCCAATTTATTTCTTGTCAATAAAACATTTGGTGTGGCACAATCAAATTTTTATTCTGAAAGTGTGTGTGGCCCAGAGAAAAAAGTTTGAGAACTACTGGTGTACATAGAACCATAGAATCATAGAGTTGGGAGAGACCACAAGGGCCATCGACTCCAACCCCCTGCCAAGCAGGAAAGACCATCAGAGCACTCCTGACATATGGTTGTCAAGCCTCTGCTTAAAGACCTCCAAAGAAGGAGACTCCACCACACTCCTTGGCAGCAAATTCCACTGTCGAACAGCTCTTACTGTCAGGAAGTTCTTCCTAATGTTTAGGTGGAATCTTCTTTCTTGTAGTTTGGATCCATTGCACTTCTACATTTCAGACTGATTTAACAATCGTTCCCCATCCTCAAGAAACCCTGGGAACATAGATTTATTAAGACACATCACATTTAAAATTCACTGCACTCTCACCAAAACATGGCTTCCAAGATTCTTTGGGAGAAGCCATGGCTGTTAATATAGTATAAAATCAATACACACACAATACACACTGGCTAAATCAGGGCATGTTATTAAACCATGACTTAGCAATCTGAGTGTGACATGACGAGCATTGGGCTTCCGTTCACCTCCCTTATTCATGTGCAAGGGGCAGAAATTTAAAGCTTCTGGGCATGGTTTGTAACAAGCCACACTTTCCTGGTTCATCTGAATCTTATTATTAATTTTTTATTTGTGAATTTAACAAGAAGAGGAAAGATGAGAGAAAAAGATAAAATAACATTTTAAAAAGAGAAGAGATAAATAATATTGATAAACAATAATATACAAATAATATTAGACCACCGTTAGTACATGAATCTTAAACCAAACATATAAATTAATTTAAGCCCTCCAGATGTCCAAATAGGTATCCACAGAAAATTCCTATATGAAATATTTCTGAATGCAGCCAAGGTAATAAGGTCCTTGGGCCACTGTGTGATAGATGGTGGTTTTTATCCTTCCAGAGTTGAAGTCTCTTAGCTACCAGAAGTGCTTACAAAATCCACTTTTGTAGTCCATCCATGAGTCCCTATACTATAGGTAAATGGTTCAGAAGTACATTCCTTTCATCTGAATCTGAGAAACTGCAGTTGGTACACATCCTGGTTTCTGAACCAAGTATGGTTTGTGCAACCCAGTGTTTCCACAACTGTTCACCACTGCTTTACATTTCCTCCCCTTGTGCATAAAGATGGAGGAAAGCACAAGAACTCAAACTTGCTGAGGTTACTAATCCCATAATGATAAAACAACTGTTTAGAATTACATCTGAATTTTGCCAATATGACATGGGGAAACTGACAATAAGGGTAGAGGGAAAGGCGTATCCCCCTAAAAACTGAGACAAGCCAACAATCGCAAAGCAATCCTGGACTTCTGTGCTCACCTTCAGGTTTGTAAACACATTCCGCTATATAGAAAGCACAGTGTATTGGGCAAATAACCCAGTAGTGTATCTATTAAGCGAACACTTCGTAAGCATTTGAATGTCTTGACACGTGTCTGATTATGTGACATTCTTCTTCATTCAGACATCATTCAGGAAAGTGTAAGATGCAAACAGGGCCTCAGGTAATGAATTCCCCTATTTCTGCTGACTCACAAGAACATAAGAAGAGCTCCGCTGGATCATGCTAAAAGTCCTCGAGTCCAGAATCCTGTTCTCACAGCAACCAACCAGATGCCCATAGGAAGCCTATTAAATAGGCATGAAGGAAGCAAGTTCATCCTCTCCCCTGGTTCTCCAGAAATGGTATTTCCGTCATGCTCCCTCTAATACCACAAGTAGTACACAGCTATCATGACAAGTAGCCATCTCAAATTGGCGACCAACACCACATCTTGTGGCAGCAAATTCCATACATTCAGCTATGCACTGTTTGAAGGTGTACTTCAGCTTTACTCTGGATTTTCAGCCTACCTGTGCAGCATTGCAAACAAATATAGCATCAATCCTTGCTTTTACCTGCAGTTATGTGTCAAATTCTACTGCTGGAGAGCTCTGTGTCGCAAGGATGCCACATTTAATTGAGCTGGAGAAGCAAGCTCCCCACCCAGCAGGTGTCTAGGGGGCCACATCACCCCCCCAACCTCCCCACTGGTTTTTATGGGAGATGCAGGAATGGTTGGGAAACGGTCCTCACAAGACTAGCAGCTGGTTTCTTTCGTTATATATATATTAAATTTCTCAGATCCTCACCATCTGATCCTAATTGTCATCAATATCGCCATTAGGTAGAGTTACAGCTGGGCATGGGGTGGAAGAAGTAGCGCTTATGGGAGTTTCTGCCTCAGGTGCTAAAATCTCTTGATTGGCCCCTGGATTGGGGGGGGGGGGTGCCATTTCCCGCTCTGCCTCAAGCAGCAAAATGTCTCAGCCTGCCTTTATACACGTTGCCCACCAAATTATTTCCCTAGCACCACTGCTGACACCAAGCAGCACACAGCCTTGAAGGCCCTTTCCTAATATGTTGATGCTTTCCTCTCCCAAATCCTTTCCTACATGAAAATAGCTGCCCCCGCTTCCTTAACACCCTCGTTATCCAAATCTCTGTTCCAAAGTGACCAAAGGTCACTGCTGCCCAGGCAGGGCACAGCTGATCTGCTAATCTGACTGAGTGTGGTGGGTAACACTGATATTTAAGGGAAGAAGTACTTAAAAAACAAACAAACCATTTTTATGCCACCTTTACACAATCAAAGTGGTTCACACAAATTGGAAGGTGGCGAGGAGAACAATAACTTCCAATAATTGTATCTAAACAGAAACACCGAGCACAAACAAAAAACCAGAATAAGCTGAAACCAGAATAATACTTACTAGGCAGATCTCAACAGCCGAATGCCCTCCAGAACAAATACTTTATATATCTTTGTTTCCCAGCAGCAGCCACAGTTCACCCCTTTGCCTGATTAAGTGTATCACGTCCTAGCCTTGAAAATGGTTCCATATTTGGGGTGTGGGGAGTGTGGTAGGCTGCATTTGAGACACCCAAGGGCCTGAGATAGTATACGTTGCCTCATTTAGTTCTCTGGGATCACTTCAAAAAGACTAATAACATAATAGGTTCAAGTTTAATTTATAGAAAGAAGAACCCTGAAAAGTGAGAGCAAAGAGGGAGCCTTGGAGTTGGCCATCAAAAGGAGCACCTGAGCAGCAGAGAGAGCAGGCCCACAGATCACCTGGGCACAATCTTCCCCATGAGGGTGAATTGCATTGTATCTCTTTCTCGCTTTTAAAATAAATGTTATTTTTCAGTCTTTCATAAATATTTTGACAAATCAACATACAATCCAACATTTTCTAACAAATACGTATATTTTGACTTTCCCCCATTCCTTTTGTGGTTTTAAATTTTTTTTAATTTGTAACACTGCATCTCCTTCAGTACTCCAATTATTAATTACTCCCTAGTTATCCTTTGCATTGTATCTCTTTCTACATAGTAATTATTTATTCATTTTATAAAAATCTGTGTCCTTTTTTATGGTGAAACGTGAAACATGTCCTTTCTTTTTGCATCATGTAACTGGTGCCCTTAATCTGAACAGAGGTGCCACTTCAGACAGGGGTGCCAACTAGAAAAAATATTGAGGGGGGGAGGGAATCAATCACATGATGTGGCACCTGCACAGCATTTTTTGGAGGGCGAATATTTTATTGGGGGGGGGGGTCAAATACCTCTTGGCCCCTAGGAGTTGGCTCCTATGACTTAAGATATCACTGGCTGTGATCAAGATTCTTCGGCAGGGCCCAGCTTCACTGGGGAGGGGACAGGACAAACGTGTCCCACACATGTATCATGATTCCATTGCATATGTTCAATCTCATGATTTATATTTATAGCCAGACATGGCAGTAAGGTGTGTGCATGTACTGGACATTTGTTGACATACATTTTCGGCCTGTAAATCAGCACTTGTTCCCACTGTTCTTGGGATCAATGTCCCTGATTATCAATGTGGTTTTTGAGAGAGCATTAGACGTAGGAAAACACAAATGATTTCTCTGTCTCTCTAACTACAAGTCCTGGCTTAACTGCACAAAGTATATACTCCTTGTCCTAGGAAAAAGGCCTGGGGCAGCATTTTTCTCTTCAGAGTGTTGCAACACGGCTTCTGTTCCGATTGGCCCTAGCAACTCTCTCAAGATCTGAAGTTCAGTTTCATGTTCTCCCCCCATGATAAAGGGTTGCAGGCTGGCCTGGCCCCTGCCCCGGATCAAACAAGCCCCGGTAAATTGTACCTTTCTCCCGCACGCTTGGGCTCCCCACCAGAAAGATGCAAAGATCCACTCCTGGTAAACATATGACGATAAAATGGCGAAAAAGGTGGATTTTAAGAACAACTGTTGTGATTAGTTTCTTTAAGTACCTCAATAAAACAAAAGCAATGTTATCAACAGCAAACAGATCCTTCCAATCCCACTCCCTTTTAGTAAGCAAAAGGGATTTGAGCCTTTGGCATGCATACCTAATTCATACGTCAGCCTGCTGGAGTGTTTATATAACCATCGTCACTCAGGGTAAAGAACCAGGAAGCTGAACTACTGTTGCCGACGCTGCTGAGGAATAACAACATGTTATCCCAAGTATTCAGAGTTGTCTGCCCGCTTCCCACTACTTAAATGTCACCCCGTGACATTTGAATAACTTTCTTAAACACATGGTGACAGGGAACATAGTATGGGAAGGTAATGCACCATATTTTAAGTACTTTGGAAGTGATTTTGATTTGAACAAATTGCGCCAATGGTAGTTAAGGCTGCAGGCACACTGGCTCCGTGGGCAGGGCCAAAAGCTGTAGGGTGATGCCCCGTGATGAGATGAATACCATTTTTAAAATACTTAGAATATTTGTATGCTACCCATACAAAGATTATCTGGGTGGCTTATAATGTATATTTCATATACTGTACAGTAACCATGAAAAGAAAAAATACCGTATTTTTTGCTCTATAAGACTCACTTTTGCCCTCCTAAAAAGTAAGGGGAAATGTGTGTGCGTCTTATGGAGCGAATGCAGGCTGCACAGCTATCCCAGAAGCCAGAACAGCAAGAGAGATCGCTGCTTTCGCTGCGCAGCGATCCCTCTTGTTGTTCTGGCTTCTGAGATTCAGAATTTTTTTTTTCTTGTTTTCCTCCTCCAAAAACAAGGCGCTTCTTATGGTCTGGTGCGTCTTATAGAGCAAAAAATACGGTATATAATGCAGCATTTAAACAAACAAACCTCAAGCAGCCTATAATAAAATCAATAAGACAAGACTCTCAGTCAGCACTAAAAATGCGAAGAGATTTTTAAATAATTTTAAAGGCCTGGGAAAATAAAAAGATCTTCACCTGGCACCAACACCAAGTACATGCCAGGTGGTGAAAGAATACCAGCTAGCGTGGCACCATCGAAAAGCCTGTGGTTCACAGCAAACTGCTGTATCTGGTCAGTGCAAGGATTTCTGCCCTACACATACCCCAGTCTGGGCATATGCCCACCTACAACATCATTGGGCGCTTTCCCAAAATTTCAGATATGCCCACTTGCCCAAAAGGATTGGCAACCCCTGTGAGGGCAGCAAATGTGTTGCACTCCAGATATTGTTGGATTACATCTTGGATTACATCTTGCATCATTCCTGCCCACTGACCATGCAGGTTAGGGCTGATGGGAACTGGAGGCCAACAACATCTAGAAGGCACCATATTGAATCATAGAATCATAGAGTTGGAAGAGACCCCAAGGGCCATCGAGTCCAACCCCCTGCCAAGCAGGAAACACCATCAGAGCACTCCTGACATATGGTTATCAAGCCTCTGCTTAAAGACCTCCAAAGAAGGAGACTCCACCACACTCCTTGGCAGCAAATTCCACTGTCGAACAGCTCTTACTGTCAGGAAGTTCTTCCTAATGTTTAGGTGGAATCTTCTTTCTTGTAGTTTAGATCCATTGCTCCCTGTCCGCTTCTCTGGAGCAGCAGAAAACAACCTTTCTCCCTCCTCTATGTGACATCCTTTTATATATTTGAACATGGCTATCATATCACCCCTTAACCTCCTCTTCTCCAGGCTAAACATGCCCAGCTCCCTTAGCCGTTCCTCATAAGGCATCGTTTCCAGGCCTTTGACCATTTTGGTTGCCCTCCTCTGGAAACGTTCCAGTTTGTCAGTGTCCTTCTTGAACTGTGGTGCCCAGAACTGGACACAGTACTCCAGGTGAGGTCTGACCAGAGCAGAATACAGTGGCACTATTACTTCCCTTGATCTAGATGCTATACTCCTATTGATGCAGCCCAGAATTGCATTGGCTTTTTTAGCTGCCGTGTCACACTGTTGGCTCATGTCAAGTTTGTGGTCAACCAAGACTCCTAGATCCTTTTCACATGTACTGCTCTCAAGCCAGGTGTCCCCCATCTTGTATTTGTGCCTCTCATTTTTTTTGCCCAAGTGCAATACTTTACATTTCTCCCTGTTAAAATTCATCTTGTTTGTTTTGGCCCAGTTCTCTAATCTGTCAAGGTCGTTTTGAAGTGTGATCCTGTCCTCTGGGGTGTTAGCCACCCTCCCAGTTTGGTGTCATCTGCAAATTTGATCAGGATGCCCTTGAGTCCATCATCCAAGTCGTTGATAAAGATGTTGAATAAGACCGGGCCCAAGACAGAACCCTGCGGCACCCCACTATTCACTCTTCTCCAGGATGAAGAGGAACCATTGATGAGCACCCTTTGGGTTCGGTCAGTCAGCCAGTTACAAATCCACTGAGTGGTAGCATAGTCAAGACCGCATTTTACCAGCTTCTTTACAAGAATATCATGGGGCACCTTGTCAAATGCCTTGCTGAAATCAAGGTAGGCTACATCCACTGCGTTCCCTTCATCTACCAGGCTTGTAATTCTGTCAAAAAACGAGTTGGAAGGGATATTGGGCTATCCCTGCTATAGACCATGGCACCTCCTCCCCTTCCTGACTCTTGAATCAGTGCTAGCAATGTACCAAGTACTCAGGAGGACACTGCTGGCAAACTCCTCCCAGTCCCTCCATCCAGGTCTCAATGACACCAACCAGATTTGCCCCGGCACCCACAGTTTAATCAATGATTAGGTATTTTATTGTGGACTAAGCCAGGGACTTAGCTACCGTATTTTTCACCTTATAGGACGCACTTTTTCCCCTCCAAAAATGAAGGGGAAATGTGTGTGCGTCCTATGGGGCGAATGCAGGCTTTCGCTGAAGCCTGGAGAGCGAGAGGGGTCGGTGCACACCGACCCCTCTTGCTCTCCAGGCTTCAGGAAGCTATCCACAAGCCTGCAGAGCCCAGCGGGAACTCCTGCGGGCTCTGAAGGCTTGCGGATAGCTGCCTGCAGCCCGAAGCCCGGGGAGCGCGGCACTGTGCACCTCGGGCTTAGGGCAGCTATCCGCAAGCCTGCGGAGCCCAGAGTTCCTGCCGGGCTCCGCAGGCGTGCGGATAGCTGCCCTAAGCCTGGGGTGCGCAGCGGGCTACAGCGCCGTGCTCCCCGGGCTTCGGATAGCAGCCAGCTCCGGGGGCGATGGCGAGGTTGGGCGCAACCTCGCCATCGCTCCAGGACTCGTTCTGGGGGCTGGGGTCGGGGAAGCTTGGGCTTCCCCGCCCCAGCCCGCAGCTCGGGATCGATGGCGAGGTTGAGCGCAACCTAGCCATCGCTCCCGGACCCCCAGCCTCGAGGCTAAAAACGAAGCCAAGACAGGGAGCTGTCATGGCGTCTTTGCTCTTTGGGGCTCGGGGGGATAATTTCCCCTTTATTTCCCCCAAAATAAGTGCGCCCTATGGGCCGGTGCGCCCTATAAGGCGAAAAATACGGTACATCAGTAAAGGAAATGCATTTTAAATGCATTATAACACTGTGACACCAGATGGCGCTGTGGAGGTCCGTCTTTCGGCAACGTGCTTTCCCACTATGAGGTTTACAACGCATTTTGCTGAAAGTTTTTTTTGACGTGTCTAGATCCAGCCCAGCAAGCATTCAGTTGATGCCCTGTGGGTAACATACTCCAACATCTGTAGAGCATCCTTTCATCTTGTGCTCTGAGGAGGGCAGAACAGAGACTGGCCCCACAATCCCATGATTTCAGAAGCTGGTGTTTTAGGGAAAGAAACACATGGCATTGTGAATGCTGTCACCCACCTCCTGGGCATTTCCCCTCCCTGGCCACCAGCCCCTTGGCATGGCCACCCTTCCTGGAAGGCCCAGTTGTTCTGAGATACTTCTATGTGGGGTGGGAGATATGTCACCCCTCACTCCGAGGGAGGGCACATTTGGCAAGAGCTCTCCCGGCACCCTCTTCAGAAAGCCAGGCAGGTGTGCCAGCTGCCAAAGAGCCAGGTGGCCAGTGAAAGGGCAAGCACCTGCTGGTGCCAGCATTAAAAGGGCAGCTTTATTGCTTCCTTGTTTGGGTTGCGTAGGATCCTGTCTTTCCTCCCCCCTCCCTTGGTGGCTCCCTCCCCGCATCCCCGCTCCCCTGCTGCTCACACACCAGGCAGAGCCCTGTCAGCCTTCAAGGGGAAAGAGGGAGAAGAAAAATAACACTTGAATATGTATTTCTGCTGAAATGAAAGAATTACTGCCCGCATATGAGGCGGCAGACACCTTAGAATATATAAGGGCATCCTCTGCATACACAAGAGGCAGGTTCTTCAAGTCAGCTTGCTTCGGGGGTAGGAACTGGAGGGCAGAGGGGCCTCTGGGAAGAATCATGTCCTTGATGGGGCAGCATCTGTCTTTAGGTAGGTGCGGGTGGCTGTGGAATATAAAGGGGATTTTGATTTTGAAGTGGATGGGTCTCCAGTTCTCTATGAAACAATTAAATTCTTGGTGATGGGATTCAAGCCCACCTGGAACTAAGTGTCTACTGCTATGAAAGACCCTCCCCAAAATCCAAGATGCGTAAGCTTTCTTAGTGGTAAGTGAAAATAACCTGGCACAAACTCTGCGCATGCTTGAGGGCACTATTTTCTTTGTCAGAGAGGTCTTGAGGCACCTTAAAACATTTGTTAGGGCACACCCACCCCTCTGGAAATTATTTTATTAATTATCACATTTCAGAGAAATTTATAAAAATAATCATCAAAAACTTAACATGTACTAGGCGCTAAAAGCACCCCTGCCAAAAGATAGGCAGTCTTCTGACATTTTTGAAATATTACCTATATAGAAAGTAAAATGGCAAGGTTAGCCTATAGTTGCATACAACCCCAGTTAGACTGATCACTATGGCTGAAAACAGATCCGAGAGCTCAGATTAAACCTTATTGTATACTGTCCCCTGGTTAGCCCCCCCCCCCCCATCTCTTGTTCAAACTGGAAGATTTAACATACTGCACCCTGCGATTTTGCGCATGGATCTGAACCCACTGAAGTAAACGGATTTACGCGTATGCTGCCGAGTGTGGGGAGGGGGTGGCGGGGGCAACCTTTGATGTCTTCCTTCCCCTTGAGATCACAAGTTCAAACCAACCAACCCTACTCTCTTCTGTGAAAAGTACAATTTTAACTTCTTCAGCATGTTCTCCGCCCCTCCCCCGTCCACATTTTTTTTTTGCCCCCAGACTCTTTCCCTCCCAGGAAGAGGTGTAGGAAGAAAAATCGCAACACCCTCTCCCATCAGCGGCGGGCGGACTGGGATTGGTGAACTAGGGAATTAAGGAACATGCCCCCCCCGTCGCCGCCAGCGCCCCCTTCCCTGCCAGCATCTTGGGCAGGGCGCATGCAACTCACGCCCGTCTCTTCTCCGCGCGCTCCCCTCCTTCCGATCAAGTGCAGAGTCAACTTTCTCCACCCCCCCCCGCCTCAATTCTCAGTGCATCTTGGATTGCTGCTCCGGATACCTGCTGCTCCTCCTTCCCGCACAGCTCTTTCGCGGTCTCCTTCCCACCGCAAGGATTTTGTTGTTTTCCCCCTTTTTTGGGGGGGGGGGTGCCTGCTGCTGCTGGTGGTCTTCCTTTCTTCGCGCTCCCCACACCTCCTCCAGACCCACCTCTCTCTCTCTCTTTTTTTCTCCCACCCTCCCCCTTCTCCGCCGCGCTCTCAATGCTGGCGGAAGATTTTTGCCTTGAAACATGAAGGTCCTTAGCTGGGTGCATCTCCTCCTTAGCCAGTGGCTCTTGCAAAAGGTAAGGAGCGAGCTGGGAAAGGAGAAGGCGCGGGCGGCTTGGCTGGCTGGCTGGCTGGCGAGGGGGTCGCGGGCGGGGGAAGTTGCCGTCGCCCCAGAAGGCAGCCTTGTGCCCGAAGCAAACTTGCCCCTTGGCACGAGGGAAGGGAAAGTGGGCACCAAAGGAACCAGGAGAGATTTCTGCCCGGTCCAAAAAAAGGCTAGTACTGTGTATATGGCGAGGAGGGATTGCTTTAATTCTGGCCGCCGCCCGCAGCGTTTCCCCAACTTTGACTCGACTCCGGGTTACAATTCGTTGGAATGTAAGCAGCAGAGGCTTGACGCGTGTCTCGAAAGTTAAGGCAGACGCTGCTTTCTGGGGAGCGGGGAGTCGTCTGTATGCATTCATTGGCGAGCGGGGCGGGCGGCTGGGTTGTGTGTGGGTTGCGTGTGTGTCCTGTTTTCTTAGCGTGGGACACAATCAGATTGTGTAGCAAGTTCGTCTCCCCCCGCCCACAAAAAAGAAATCAGCACGGAGCGCCTGTGTGGGGTGTTTGGTTTGGTTTTTTTGGCGGAGTGGGGCGAGGAAGAGAAGAGATTGCCAAGCTGTAAAAACACCTCCTCCGCTCTCGTCTGGGGCGACGGCCCGTCTGGCGGCTCCGCGGAAGGCGGCTCGCGAGACGTGAATCGTGTAAATATAGCCTGGCTGCCAATTCGGATCCTCTTCCCGCTTAGCCCGCAGACAGCGATGGGGGCGGTTAGGTGTAACTCCGGGTCAAGGCGCGCTCGCAATGCTCGCGCCGCGGCGCTTCGCAATGGCATCGTAAAGAGCCGAAGAGCGGCGGCTTGGTGACGCGCGGGCACCCCGGGCAGCGCCGATCTTTCTTCCCGAACTCAGACGTTCATGCATCGGACGCTCGTGCCATATTCCAGTACAATATTGCGTATTCTTTCAACTCCCATAGGGCTGAAATGCGCACGGAACACGCTCGCAGGCGCGGCACAAGCGAGGCTCCGGCGCACGCCCTCACGTACCCGTTGTGTGTACAAACGCGCGCACGTGGTCGTGCCGTGCCACTTGGCTCCCGGAGGCAGGTGGATCAGTACGGAGTTGGTGTGCAAGGTTTGCACGTGGGAACACCATGCAAGCGGGTCACACCGTACAATATCGATTTCGTGCAAGGTGGTGGGAAATAGTGTGTGTGTGCTCACACATATTTCAGACGCTTGTTCTGTGAGTTGTGTGCAAAGTGCTAGACAGCTGAATAAACGTACCTAGCATTTGCTAGGATCTGGGGCTCTCAGGGCAGATCAGCCCATCCCGACCTTCCACCGCAATCCCAGCATTCAGAGTTTTATTTCCATTTCATTATCTACAAAAACTGGTTTCCACCACTTTTGCAGAACCCACTTCCACTGGCTAGGAAAAGAGGTACATTTTTCCCCTCATGACATGGCAACTCCCCTGCTCCCCTCTTTTGAGGTGCTTCTTCTGGTTCTAAACTGAGTAATTTTAGACAGAGCTTTGACCTTTTGCATTGGGTGTTCCTGTTGCGAATTTAGCTTGTCTCAAATGCCACAAGCACTGCAGAACCCTGGGAGCCACTGTCGCTTCCCCCAGACGATCCGATGCACTATTTCCAATTTGCTCGTCTTGAGGACAGGATGGTTGTTTGCTTGGTGCAAGCCCTCATAAAAAAATCAAACTGGAACCCAGTTCAGGCACAAACCCTGTCCCCCCTGCCCTTCTGACCTTGACGCCCATCTTCTGAATTACAATCCAGTCCGAAGAGATGTCTTCCATAAAATGCATCATTCTCTCTGTGCACATACGTATGAAAGGGGATGTAACAGCCAGTGTGTTGCTGTTGGTTCTGTTTCTCCAACATGCTTACAGATTGTGGCATTAAGTGTTTCTTTGTGCCTAGTATAGTATACCCCTTATTGGTTAAACCAGGGCCCATTAGCTGTTCCACTTGGAGGCTTGCTTCTCTAATTTGCCCAGTTTAAACTGAGTGGAGAAGCACTTAAAGCAAAGTGTTATTAAATAATTGCAGAGGCCTTCCAACTCAGACCTCCCCCCTCCCCCCCTACTTCCATTCCCCTAGGCTTCGGGTCTTCTTTTCTTCTACCAAACATGCTGCCATATTTTTTAAAAGTGACTTTTGGGAGCAGAAATGACCTGGCCCTTGTGATTTGGAACTTTAGAACTTCCCAATTTCTCTTTAGACCAGTCAAACAATAGCTTTCAAAAAGAATCATAAAATTTTGATTCTCTTCCGTCTGCTTCATACACATCCGCTGGTGTGCAGTGTGTGTGTGTGAAATAATTCTTTCACAGGTAACAGGCATTGCCGTTTTTAGTGCTTGCAAATGGGGAGTTAAGAGCTTCGGTTTCATTTTTAATTTTTTTCTCTGCCTGTGTCTTATTTTTCTTTTTATGGCATTGTAATGTTGCAGGGAGAAATAAGGAACGGGCTCATTAAGCACCAGGCCAGCGAGAATCGGATTTCATGACAATCAATTTTTACTTTTCAACAGTTTCATGAATGCAAACCCCTCCCCCACCCTCTTTTCTTTCTCAAGGAACTACATACAGACTTTTGCAAGGTTAGATCTAACTAGTTTGTCTTTCTTGGGCTTATCTTATTCTATGTAGCAAGATGGGGAGGAAAACATTATTTGGGGGCTACCCTCAGCTTTCCATCAGCCTGAGAGCATGCTTTTAAGAGGCTGTGGGGGGACCTTTGTTTTAATCAGATAACAGCGATTTTTGTTGCTGGCGCGAAAGGCAGGGAGATCAAAGGAATGAGGTGTGCTTTGGGTTTGGAAAGAAGGTTTAGCTACTGGGGTTTTTTTGAGCCCTGCATTAGAGAAAAAAACATTCAGTGAAGGTACAAATGAGATGCTTTCCTGATTCTCAAACTAGGTCTTGTGCGATGTGTGTGTAAGAGAGAGAGAGAGAGAGAGAGAGAGAGAGAGAGAAGAGACACTACTGTTAGCTCAAAAAAAGCCCAACATCTGGGTGGGAAATCCGCAACCCCCCAACTACACCTCACAGGATCATCAGTTGTTTCAAATAAATATTACAAGCAAAGTTAAGGAATGAGAAACAATTCAGACACCAGTGCCTGGTCTATATTAACTTCTCAGGCTGCAAGCCGCCACTATTACTGTGGAGGTGCCCCATTAAAATGTGGGGCTGCTTTTGTGGACTTCAATTTTTTATTCAGTTCCTTTGTGGCCCTGCATCTTAGGCAGACAGCATCCCTCTTCTACTACATTTCTGATTTATCCCAACATTTTCCATGTTGTCCGTACCATTGAGACAAATGAGATTTTGCAGTTGCCTATAGAACCAAAACCTTACTGTGAATGAATATTTAGAGCAGAGCACAGCAATATGCCATTCTTTCACCTGAGAATTTGGTTGATATTGAAGACCATTGGAAGTTTTTATTTGCCCCATCTGTGCTTCCTGGTTTCCAGTCTACCCAGCAGCAGGCAAGGAAGTCTAAGATCATGATGTGGAATCCAAAAAATAATAGTGCTGAATGTTGCAGCTACCATGGTAGCATTTTTGGAGTTTCCCTCAAATAAACAAAAGAAAAGGAGCAGTTTGCTAGCCCTCAAGATGTGGACTCTAACTTAAAATAATGTCTGAGTGCTACCTGGTAATATTGATCTACTAACAGGGAATTGACTTCCCTAAAGTCAGGGTTCTGCTCATCTTCTTTTGTATCTTCCAAGAAGTCTGTGATCGTGTTCATGGGGATTGTGTCACCTTTTATCTTCACAAGATGATAACTAACTCAAGACTGCTCAGTGGGTTTGGAATGTAGATTTAAGGGTTTCAGATTTATTTGTTTCTTTTAAATGCAGAATTGCCAATCAAGTATATAAGTATCCTATCTGTGGCTCTGAGGATGTTGAATGTGATGCTGCCACCTCAGAGTAGACTTTGACTGAAAAGCATAGCTAAGTGAAATTTTACTCACCTATTTCTATCACTGAGATAACCAGATTCAGCTTTATGCAACCTTTGGCCATAAGGAACCCAGGATGTTGCTTAATACCAGGTCAGCTATGGACAGACTGTGGACATCATACAGTTAAAGCACATTCAACCCACATGTAAAGCACATAATTCATCCCGGAAGGATCCAGGGAACTGTAATTTTCCCTTCACAGAGCTACAGTTCCCAGCACCCTTAACAAACTACACTTCCCAGGATTATTTGAGGCTAATTGTGTGCTTTAAATGTATGGTGTGAATCCATCTAGCCCAGATGGATACCTGAGAGCAAGCCTGGGTGTGAGAAAGAACGACTTGGCATGAGTACCCTATCCATTACCAGGCTTTGCCCAGTACCAGAGCTTAGTGCTGAAAGGCTCTGTGTCCACCACCTACAGCTGTCCTTTGCAGAAAGGGCACGAGTGTCCCACAAGGCAATTGCTAACAAGCCGATGTACATTGTCTCTCTGAAGATGCTAGCATTTTGGCACATGGCAAGCTCTGCAAGGGGGTTCAGCTGAAAATCTTGTTGACTCCCAGCCCAGAGTTCCCTTTCCATGCTGATCAGCCTTCAACCAGAGCATTTTGTCAAGTTGAGGTGCGAACTCTGATTATCCACAAACCAACCTGAAGTTATATTTAACAAAGTGGTGGTGGGGAAATCTACAGACTTTGATAGTTGATACTGCTTTTTGAAAACAGTTCAGTTGATGTTGAGATTCTTACCCAAATATTGTTTATGGTGTTTAACCAGCACACGGTATTTTGAGATATTTCTAACTTTGCTTTTGCAAATTGAAAAAAAGCTTATTAATGGCAGCCCCCTGTGGTTCAGCACTGTCCGGGTCAACAGGACCCTGTCCATTAACTTGTTTTGTGCTTGTGTACATTTCTGTCAGCAGATGCTGGGAGATTATGAGGAGTGGGATCTACAGCTCTGAGCTAAAAAAAAGTAAGAAATCCCCAAACATTGCAGGATGGAAGAGAATAGTGCTAATCTGCTTGGTGTGCTTGCATTGTGGTTGCAAAAGAGACAGTAGAATTTTGAATTTACTTTACCAAGGACTAGTATGTTGGAGGAAAAGAGGAACTGGGTGGGTAAAACATTAGAAATAACATGACCCATAAGTGTATGAATGAAGAAGACCAAAAATGTAGCAAGGAGGTAGGGTTGGGGTATGTAAAGCAAAGGTGTGGCCTTCCGGCTGTGACTGGATTCTGCTTCCCATCATTCCTAACCACTGCCTATGGTAGCCGAGGCTCATAGGATTTGGAGTCCAGCAAAATCTGGAGAGCCCCTGTGTCCCTCACTCAGCCACCGACATCCCAAGAATCTCATTTTGGAGTGTTTAGAAATTGCTACTCAGTTTTGTACATTTTGTGGTGAGAGGTGTCTCTTTGTTATGAGGACCGCAATTCTGCTGCTTTTGAAGAATGAAGGCTGTACTGAACTAAAAGCGAGGGTTCAGATTCCAGAAAGCCATATTCATCTATTATAGCAATGCAGATTTCTGAAATCCAGCCTCAAATATCAACCTAATAGTCGTGTTTAAAAATGTACAGTGGAAAAACATTGAAAAGGAGAGATTTGGAAATTGCTACAGCAGAATCTCTGCCCTTCCCCTTTCCTGATTCCATCTTTGTTTCCTGTAGTTCCTCCCGTGCTTTTTTCCGGGGGGACGCGGGGTATACATACCCCTAAACATTTTGTGAATCTTTGTACTTTTATCCATTTACTGTATTTCTTTTCCCCGATTTGAACTATAAAATGGTGAGTCAAAACTTTTAAAGGAAAAAAGCACCGAGTTCCTCCCTATGTTCCACTCATATACTGCCTCAGTTCTTTGGAGGGGCTGATGGTCCCAGCAGGAGCCAGACGACCTCAGGACTTTTAAAAAAATGATTCCTGGCCCTGCAGAGGAAATGGGATTTAGTTCAGGGGTGCAGGACAAACCTCCACTTTGGTTTTTCCACTCAGTTTGCTTCAGTAGGGTGCATTTAGTGCATCACTTTTCCCCATATGAAAATGGTTCTAATAACGTAGAGCAGGGGTCAGCAAACTTTTTCAGCAGGGGGGCGGTCCACTGTCCCTCAGACCTTGGGGGGGGGGCGGGCGGACTATATATATTTTTTGGGGGGGAATGAACAAATTCCTTTGCCCCACAAATAACCCAGGGATGCATTTTAAATAAAAGGACACATTGTACTCATGTAAAAACACGCTGATTCCCGGACCATCTGCGGGGCGGATTTAGAAGGCAATTGGGCTGGATCTGGCCCCCCGGGCCTTAGTTTGCCTACCCATGATGTACAGGCACACTTGCAAAATGCAACACGTTTAACACATGTCTGTCTCTAAAGGAGTTCCACAAAATGAACATCCTATTATTTTTCTGACCCAAGGACAAAGGCATGTGTCCTCATCCTCAGATAATAATGCCTGTCCTTTTGCTGGGCTTGCTATCTTGCTGTGTTCGGCATGCCCTGTCCTGGGGAAAGGGCTGGCTTCGTTTTCTTTTCCATTTATTACGCTCAATAGCCACTTAAAGTAGCTGATGGGTGCCTGGAGCCCCGTCTGGCCCTGCTGTTTCACAGGGTCATGCGGTGCCAGATGTTCCTGCATTTAAGCAGCTGCCGTAGCCTCATTTTGATAAAATAATAAATCCCTCCTCTTTGGCTTTAACCCCTTTCTGGCTCATACCACTCAGAGCCAGTGCTACATAGCAACTTGGAGCTATTCACGTTCACACTGGATTGACATAATGATATGAGGGGCAGGGAATTTTTTAACCAGTAGAGAAATGGGCCTGGATTGTAAGTGGAGGGGGAATCTATTGAGGCCTTGAAGCTGTTAGCAGATGTATAGAAGGGATAATTTTGAAAGGGGCTGCTTCTCCTGCTATTACAGCAATATTATGGAAAAAAGGGAACACTGAAATTCCTCCTCCAGTAAAACTGATTCAGTGCACCGGAACCCGGCTTTTCTTTGAATCTTGCAACCCTGGCTGGAGTAGTAACTGGTGCTCTTGTCTATAAGGCTGGCGGTGGGCACTGAAGGAGTTATGCTGCCCAATTCTGAACTGAGCAAATCTAAGAAATATTCCCCATCTCAGCAGTATTAATTAGCAAGGACACACTTCTTCATTAGCCACAGCCTTGTTAAGAGCTCATTGTCTGACTGGCTCCCCCGTATTGTAATTGGGACTGGTAGGTAAACAGACAAAACACAGTTCTTATTTTGGGAGAGAAGCAATCATGTAACATGGGAAACAGCTTTTTCTAATGGATGCAGCAGCTAGGTTCAGAAGGGCACTTGAACACCTGAGAAAATGAGAAGCAAAATTTAAAAGTGTGCGCTTGTGGACTGAAAGAGTGGGGAGCAGGCTGAGAGCCAAGATGCCTGAGGGATGTGGCTGCCTCGGGCCCTCTGGAAACAAAATGGCTGCTGCATGGCTGCTACATAAAATGGCACATGTGTGACAGGCTCCCAATGGAGCAAGCTGTGCGATGCCATAAGTGCTGGCTCACCTTCCATACAGATGGAGTTCTAGTCGGCCTTCATGTTCTATCCTTTAATGTGTGATGGGATTCCTGCTCTAACTATTTGTTTTGCCTTTTCCTTAAGAAAGGCCCAGGCTCACATAGAACTAGTTTCATCCAAATGGCGAACACAGAGGTGGGCCTGGAGCTGGGAGCTTGCTTGGTCACGGACCTCCTGCCTAAGGGATGTGGCTGACTCAGGTTTGGCCAAGTTGCTCTTTGTTGGCCTCAGTATATAAAATAGAAATGGAAATGCCTTACCTCCCACACAGTTGTTGGGAAGCTGAAGATAAAGCCATAAAAACATTTTATATTATGAACAAGCAGTATGTAAACCAGGCTTCCTCAACCTCAGCCTTCCAGATGTTTTGAGACTACAATTCCCAGCATCCCTGACTACTGGTCCTGCTAGTTAGGGATCATGGGAGTTGTAGGCCAAAAACATCTGGAGGGCCGAGGTTGAGGAAGCCTGATGTAAACCATTAATAAATGCATCTGTATGAGTATGTGCCTGTCTCAGGAGGCATTAACACTTTTAGCCTTATTTAGTCAGTCCTATTTACTCTCATAGTTCCAAATTGAGTTCTGGCTCTTATATTCCTCTGTATTTTCCACCTCAGTTTAGGCTTATGCGCTCTTACTTTTTGCCCTGCTCTTTCCACACAGAGGTCTGCACTTTAGTGGTCTGTGTCTGAGTGTTGTTGTGGTTGGTTTTTTTGCCCCAAGTTTCCCCCGCAAAATCCTGCTCTTTAAAGCTCAATCGGAGCAACTGCCAATTCTGGTTTTCCACGGGTTGACTTTGCTCCAATTGAGCTTTAAAGAGTGGGATTTTGCGGGGAAAGCCCAGGAGCAAAAAAAATGAAGGAAAAAAACTGGGGGGTGTTTGGATAGAGAGCTTTAAATTGTGGACTGTGCCTGGAAAGAGTGGAGGAGAGGTAAGTGTGGATAAGCCCTTTGTCTCATTAGACCCTCACTCATTACACATACAAAAATGTGAAAGGTAAGTATGTGCATCCAGGATTTGGGCGGGGGAAAACAACAGCGCATTGTGCAAGCCTAGAAGGCCATATTGGAGATCCAGGGGTCACTAATCTAAGCAAGCCTCGCACACCCTTTTGTCTGACTATCAAGGGGCGAGTGGACAGAAGCTGCTGTCCCTGGCTGAAGAGAACCTGCTGTGGATTTCCTTTTCTTCCCTCTCTTCCGCTTTGCACCTGCATGCTCCGTGTCCATCCAGTAAGGGGAGCTCTTGATTTCTCTTCCTCTCAATTTCCATTCTAGCCCCCTTTTAGCTTTAACTCAAAGAAGCTTGTTGAGAATTGGGACAAGCTGTAGTTGGCACAGCCAGTTTTCAGCCAGAATGTGGACACCTCAGAATTCCAGCTGTTTTTACTTTGTTTTACAATTTTGTTACTGGTATTTTCTTTTATATTTAAGCATAAGTTTCTAGCCCTTATGACTGTTGAGAGATGTGTTTCAGATGTACAGTGCCTTTCTAAAAACTCGCTCCTTCTGTTTATGTGTAGTTCCTTCATGGCTTCCAGTGATACTGCTCTCTGCATATACCGAACCCAAACAGTACGTCATTTGGCAGCACCTGGGAGAGTGTATGGGGTGTGTGTATGTGATTTCCCCCCCCCCAAACTATTTTAATTGGTCAAATTTTATCTTGCCCTTTCTCCAAGGGTAGCTGATTCAGAATAAGACATGCAAAACAAACTAATTTGAAAATGTTTGAATGATAATCCATAATGTAATTGATTCTGAGTTAAAAATATTGAGTTTCCATTGTGCAAGATTTGGAGAAACAGGCCCCAGCAATACCAGGAAAAAATCCTGGGAACAATTTGGAAATCTAGGGAATCCACCTCCCTTTTCTGCCCTGTATTGATTAAATGTTAAAATAAGACTACTTCATGCCTTATTACTTAAGAGTTGCCTTCTGTTCTCGTAGAGCAGGGAGAGTCATCAGGCCTAATCTGGCCTGCCAAACCTCTAGATCCATACCCACCTCCTCCCATCAGGTCCAGCCTATTCTCCCTAGGCTGCTCTTTACTTGCTATTGATCTGCAATCCCTGTGCAGTTGTGCAGCACTTCCTGCCATGTGATCTCTCCCCACCCTCCAGATTCTGCTCAGCTGATTGCAGGTTTCACTACCGTTGAGCAGTAATCTTTCACTTTGTAATTTGGCTCCATTCTCCACCCATATGTCACCCCGATCACTTTGCCCAAGAGACTGTGTTCCTGGGGGGTGGGGACCCACCCCACCTTTAAAGCTATATAAAGAAGGCCTCCCACTGTTTTATGTTCCTACCTCATATTACTTCCATAGAACTGGTATATTCCATCAGCTCCCAGCATGTAATACAGCACATCCTGGCACAGCTGGGGTTCGCCCGATATCCCCAGTGGAGCAAGCCTCTCAGCTCTCACGGCACACCCATATGATTTTCCTTGGCATTGCTCTACCCCAGGGGTCAGCAATCTTTTTTAGCTGTGGGCCGGTCCACCGTCCTTCAGACCATGTGGCGAGCCAGACTATATTTTTTGGGGGAAATGAACAAATTCCTATGCCCCACAAATAACCCAAAGATGCATTTTAAATAAAAGGACCCATTCTACTTATGTAAAAACACGCTGATTCCCGGACTGTCTGCGGGCCAGATTGAGAAGGTGATTGGGCCGCATCCAGCCCACGGGTCTTAGGTTGCCTGCCCCTGCCCTATTTCCTCCCAGACTGTCATCCATTCCCCTTGTCCCATATCCTTGCCTGGGCAATCCAATGAATTGAAAGGGGTGGTGGTGAGGAAAATGTGATGCTAACAACCAAATACCAAGATGAAGGTCTACCAGGCTTGCGTGTTGAGCGCGCTGCTTTATGGAAGTGAGACACGGGCAACTTACACCCACCAGGAGTGACACTTCAATGCCTCAGGAAGATTTTGGGCATCACAGGAGGCAGGACAGAGTCTCAAACAAAGATGTGCTCTTCCAAGCCCACACATTTCTGTCTCAGTGATGGCCTGGTCATGTACACAGAATGGAAAATGGCAGGATCCAAAAGGATATGCTCTACAGGGAGCTGACTTCAGGTACCAGGACTGTTGGCAGACCAACTCTGTGTTACAAAGACGTTTGCAAATGTGATGAAGGCTGGCAACATCAATGCCGCCTTGTGGCAATCCCTTGCAGATGACTGCAGTGCCTGGAGACAGACATTCAGGTCATGTATCCCCAGCAGTGACCAGAGGAGAAATGACCACTGGGAGAAGCGCAGAGAGAAGAAACACCATGGTGCATCTGTAAGAGTGAAACTTGACACCTTCAGCTGTCTCACCGGCAATAAAATATGTTTCTCCCATATTGTTCTCTACACCCACAGCAGGAGCTGTAACTCTCCAACAGTTTTGTCTCTCAGGACAAATCAGTGCCAACAACAACAAAATTCCTCCACCAGTTCTGCATAACTGGAGTGGTGGTGTTGGTGTTGAAAGGCTGCCAGAAGAAATCGCAATGGCATGAGCACCAAGACGATGCACAGGAGCAACCCCTGAAACCAGATGTTGTAAACCAGATGTTGTCTTGCATCTGCCTTGCATGATCTGCTCCCCCCCATTCTAATGTGTGCATAGGTAGGCAGGTAGGTAGCTAGGTAGGTAGCTAGATAGATGGATAGATGGATAGATGGATTGGATCAAGGTCCAGCTAATCTAGGACTCATTGCAAGGTGGTCTTCTAGAAACTGACCTGTAGACCACCAGTAGACCATGATCAACCTTCTGACTCCCCCTGCAGGGTGCAAAACAACAACAACCCTGGGGCAAAATCACAGCAAGGGATTTTTATAAGACTGGGTTTGTTAAGAGGCCCGAGAACCAAGTTGTCTGGCTTAGGCTCCCCCAATTTGGGACTACATCTGTTCTGTCTAGGTAAGGTTTGAGTATGTAAATGTCACTCTTATTTGAATTCTATCTAAAAGTAAAAGGTAAGGTAAAGGACCTCTGGATGGTTAAGTCCAGTCAAAGGCAGCTATAGGGTTACGATGTTCATCTTGTTTTCAAGCCAAGGGAGCCGGCATTTGTCCACAGACAGCTTTCTGGGTCATGTGGCCAGCAGGACTAAACTGCTTCTGGTGCAACAGAACACCATGGTGGAATACAGAGCGCACGGAAACACCGTTTACCTTCCCACCACAGCGGTGCCTATCTATCTACTTGCACTGGTATGCTTTCAAAGTGCTAGGTTGGCAGAAGCTAGGGCAGAGCAATGGGAGCTCACCTCTTTGCGTGGATTTGAACCATCGACCTTCTGATTGGCAAGCCCAAGATGCTCAGTGGTTTAGACCACAGTGCCACCCGCGTCCCTGAATTCTAGCTATTGTTGCTATTGCCATACACAACTGTCAAGGGCACTTCTCAGACAAGGAATACACATGGCAGATAGTTAAGTATTTCTTGTCAAAGATAGCTCAGTCACTTCTACATCTCTGGATATCTACACACCCCAATCTAAAGGCTAGGCAACTATTCTCAGGTCTGCATTCTATGGAGTAGTTGCAGCAACAGGGGACCATTCCCTCTCCACCAGCTTATGCACCTTCCTCCGAGGGGCTGTGTGCATGCAGCTGGAGACTGTGCCTGTATGGAAACTTTCTCTGTGCATCCCGTTTCAATTCCCTCCTCGTTCTGGGAGAGTGGTGCAGGAAAGGGTGGAGAAGCACCTTCCCTTGCCTGACCTGCCTTTTTCTCCTCCTCTTCTGACCCATCCTGTGCTCCACTTTCCAGCTCTGAACTTCCTCATGCCTCTGATTCTTGCATCCTGCCTGGTACAGGTCCCCACAAATCATTGCCCCTCTCTCAGAAATTGCATCTCCTTAACTGGGAGAGGGGGGAAAGTAATTCAGGGGTGGGGTGGGGAGTGTCTGAGTAGATTTAACCTACTTCCTAACATGCCCTAAAGATAAGTGCTTAGTGATCTCTACAGCAACACCCTTATTTCAGCTTGCTGCTCAATTGAGCACAACCAAAGCCATTTTGCTTCCGGTGGCCCAAACGGTGCCTGCTTCCACCGACTCCTGCATGCCAAAGGCACATCTGAAATTGAGAAACTATTATTATTACTCTTATTACTACTACAAGATCTCCACACAGTACATGTGGGGAATCACTTCAGCTAATGTAATGCCAATACTGTACATACAGTGGATCTCTTTTTGTTTTTTAAGACCTCAGCACCATTTTTCGATTTTTTAAAAATGCCATAAGACTCGGGGGGGGTGTGTTATTATTTAAATGTGTACAGGTACAAAAATACCTGCTTGCATGCCTAGAATGGGAAAAGGTAGAGGAAGACGAAGGTGCAGGACCAGAAAATACATCCTAAGAACATTCCACCAAGCACTGCTCCCTGGTACAGATGGGATACAGCAGAATGCTTATGAAAAAGCAGATCAGAACAATCAAATCGAGACGTTAAGCCCCCATCTGGAAGTCCCCTAAGGGAGCCATTGTTAAGTGTCATGTGCATTCTAGCCAATGGTAAGTGTTACAGTCTCAGGAGGTGCAAGAAGTAGATTCAGTGCTGTCTGAAAATGCCTCATTTACTGCCCCCCACTTACTACACTGGAATCATCATGGCTTAACAAGCTTATTGTGAGCCTGAATGAAATATGGAGAATGAACCGCAGGTGGAGGAAGGCTGGGCCTGCTCCATGAAACTCTGAACGCACCCCGCAAGCAGCGAATTTGGTATCTCTTGCAGAATTCAGCGTTGTGTGAAATCTCTTTAAAAAGTAAAGCAAGTTTCTAGCACTCAGGGCTAAACATTTCTAGCTCATACGAGGTAAAATCATAGAATTGTAGAGTTGGAAAGGTCCCCAAGACTCATCTAGTCCAACCCCACAGCCATCCCTAGGTGGGCTTGAACCCCCAGCTTTGTGGTTAACAGATGCACTAACCCGTTGTGCCACTGGGGTAAATCTCACACATTGAGTTAGGGGTTTAAAGAGACTTCCTGCAGAAAAGAGGTGGGGAGTGCTGCAGAGCTGATTGCCCCCTCTCATGGAAAACAGAAATGGAATGTATTATTCAAATGAGAGCAAAAATGCTCTAATTTGCATAATTTATTCCATTTGCAGAATCTGTTTCCTTGGTGCTAAATTTGTACCAAGTGTGCTTGTGGGCAGAGTGTACAGCAGTCCTGGGTACAGGAGGAACTATAACTCTAACTAATAATTATTTCTGAAGTGCTCTTAATCGATATTAAATTTATTTTCTGAGTGTTGCATACTGCCTGGATTCCTGCATCTTATACCAGTAGCCGAGGTGCTAATGTTAGGAACTATGCATGATTGAAAAGCTGTCTCCAAGAGACCGGAGTGCTGGCTGGTCTCTTTCCAGCCATCTCCAGAGCTAATATATTGCCGAACAAACACACTGTAATTCAGATTGAAGCTTTCCAATATGACTCATTTCCCTCCCTTTTAATAACACTCCCCCTGCTGCGGCCTTTAAACCCTTGGCTGCGAGCAATTCAATAAGGAGGCACACGACCCCGTCTGCCACCCCGAGACAAGCGCTGCGCATATCGCAGGACGCAGCACATCCATCTGGAATAGAAACGAACCAGCGGCTGGGAAGCTGGGGCTAGACTGGGGCAGAATCCGACTTCTCCTGACAAATGCCACTTGCTTTTTAATAAGAATGAAATATTCTCCCTTTGCCATCCCCCCCTTTGCGGTTGATTATATTTGAGAGCATTGCAAGAATCAGTATAAACAGGGAGGCTGGAGGTCAGAACTGAGGGGCACCGTCAGAGCTAGGTTATCAGGAGGTGTGGGAGGAGATTGACAGACACAGAGGATGTTATGGCCAGTAAGCAGAGTGTCCATGGAGGGCGGGGGGCCCTTTGCGTTTGCATTCACTGGAAGTTCATATGTGAGCTTGTCTTATTCAGAAGTGCGGCTGTGCAGATGAGGGTTTAGAGCTCCTTTATCTGTACCTGGAGCGAGATGGTTGCTGAGCTTCTGTGGTTTCTCCCACATCATTCCAGGAACATTAATAAATGTCTGTCCACATGGTTGTTTTGTTTTTGCTTTGTAACAGAGAGACGATGCCCACACTCTCTTGGGAAGTGTGTTTCTTCTCTGTTACACAAACACCATAAAGCAAAACTTCATGGTCAAAGATGTCCAAAAGTTGTAGAGGGAGTAACTGCGGAGGCAGGAATATTCCATGCTGCCCCAGGAGCCTCTATAAAGTGGGCCTTAGACTTGTTTCCAAGAGAGCAGAGTTCAAGTCCTACCTCTGCCATGGATTCATAATATCAGCCATGCTAGTATTTCTGAGGGTTTCCCAAAAACAATGCTGAAAACTATTTGAGCCTTCCATATTGCACATGGACACTGGTTAATGCAGGAGAGAATTGGGATGTTTGTGTAGTCAGAGTCAGCTGGATTTAAAGATTGTGGGAAGGTTGGTGCCTCTTTCGTGAACTGCTAACTTTAATGCCAAGAAATTCAGAAGTGGAGTGTTGGTTAGGGGCAGGACTTTGCAGTGTGCCTGTGCTTTACCTCTCCCCCGCAAACCCCCCACAGTTGAGGAAGATATCCCCCAAGCTAACAATGGCCAATATTTTTTGCAAGTGTGCAACAGGCGCAAAGTGTTGCTCTGGTTAATGTTTGCATAAGTATTTAAATGTCGTTTGTGAATTATTTGGAAACAGTGCTATATTATGTAAATGTTTCTGACGTTGTAAGATGTTGCGAAGGTTTCTGGTGGAAGAATGGCATGCAGGCTAACTGATTATGAAAGTAGACATGCAAACCCCTCTCCTCTGAGCCATTCGTGTCAGTCTGCTGAGCCAGAAAGAAGGCTGTAATGCAGAACAGGAGAGGCAAGTGGGACTGTAGCTCTGTGGGCCCCCCAAGTGTGCCAGGCCTATGGGACCCCTCTATGGGTGAGAGTGGTGACACTCAAGCTACAGGCTGGCTGTCACACCCATGTCCTAATATATGTCTGCGTTTAACTGGAGGACCAAACTAGGAAGAGTCAACAGTATCATATTGAACACTCCTCTCCAAAGTGTCCCTGAATTCTGCTTTTGAACCCAGTTATTTATTTATTTTACATTCTTAGCCCACCCTCGCTTTAGGGAACTCAGGATCAAGTACTGTACATGATTCCCCTATTATATTCACACAATAACCCTGTAAAGTAGGTTAAACTGGAAGATGGTAACTGACCCCAAATCATTTAGAAACTTTTGTGGCATGTATATAAACCCAGTTTTTCCTCTCTTAAGTCTAATGTTAGCCATCACACAATACTGGCTCTCAGTTGTAAGGCTTTCTTTTTTTTATAAGATATTTATTAAGATTTTTTAAAATATTACAATAAAAATGAAAAAAAATAGCAAAAATACAAAATAAAAATAGTTAAAAACACACAGATTTTCCATTACTTATTTTCCTTTGACTTATTTCCCGGACCTCCTCATACCTCCCTTTTTGTATTCCACTTCAATCTGTTGGTTCAGCAAATCCTTTAAAAGTAATAACATTAGATTTTTACCTATTTATAACCTTTTTTCATATTCCCTTAAAGCATTACAGCTGGAAACCACTTAATTACTATCCAACATCATTCTAACATTCATTAATTTTACAATATTTCTGTAGATAATCTTTGAATTTCTTCCAATCTTCTTCCACCGACTCTTCTCCCTGGTCTCGGATTCTGCCAGTCATTTCTGCCAGTTCCATATAGTCCATCAGCTTCATCTGCCATTCTTCCACAGTGGGTAAATCTTGTGTCTTCCAATACTTTGCAATGAGTATTCTTGCTGCTGTTGTGGCATACATAAAAAAAAGTTCTGTCCTTCTTTGGCACCAATTGGCCGACTATGCCTAGGAGAAAGGCCTCTGGTTTCTTCAAGAAGGTATGTTTAAATACCTTTTTCAGTTCATTATATATCATTTCCCAGAAGGCCTTAATCCTTGGGCACGTCCACCAAAGGTGAAAGAATGTACCTTCAGTTTCTTTACATTTCCAGCATTTATTGTCGGGCAAATGATAGATTTTTGCAAGCTTGACTGGGGTCATGTACCACCTGTATATCATTTTCATAATATTCTCTCTTAGGACATTACATGCCGTAAACTTCATACCTGTGGTCCATAACTGTTCCCAGTCAGCAAACATAATATTATGTCCAACATCTTGTGCCCATTTAATCATAGCAGATTTCACCGTTTCATCCTGAGTATTCCATTTCAACAGCAAGTTATACATTCTTGACAAATTCTTAGTTTTGGGTTCTAACAGTTCTGTTTCTAATTTTGATTTTTCCACCTGGAAGCCAATTTTCTTGTCCAAATTATATGCCTCCATTATCTGATAATGAAGCCAGTCTCGCACTTTATTTTTTAGTTTCTCAAAACTCTGCAGTTTCAGTCTATCTCCATCTTGTTCCAAAATTTCCCAATATTTCGGCCAATTGGCCTCCATATTGAGCCTTTTCAGAGCTTTCGCTTCCATCGGTGACAGCCACCTTGGGGTTTTGTTTTCCAATAAATCCTTGTATCTTATCCAAACATTAAACAGTGCTTTCCTGACAATATGGTTTTTAAATGCTTTATGCGCTTTGACCTTGTCATACCACAGATATGCATGCCATCCAAATACATTGTTAAAACCTTCTAAGTCCAAAATGTCTGTGTTTTCAAGAAGTAGCCATTCTTTCAACCAGCAAAAAGCTGCTGATTCATAGTAAAGTTTAAAGTCTGGCAGGGCAAATCCACCCCTTTCCTTCTCAGTTGTAAGGCTTTCTATACTGGATCCCTTGGACGGAAGACTATTGCTGCAGTGTTTGTTGGTGAGGGAGTGTCCAGTGTTCAGGATGACAGGAACCCACCTCAAAGGGGTGAAGCGCAGGCAACTGATTTTACTTAAGCTGAAAGCAAAATGTTCATCAGCAGAAACCTGGGCTGTGTATCCACCATACATTTAAAGCATATTCCCTGTCAAAAAGAATCCCGGGAACTGTAGTTTACCCCTCACAGAACTACAGTTCCCAGCACCATTAAAAACTATAGTTCCTGGGATTCCTTGGGTGAAAAATGTGCTTTGAATTATGGTGTATATGTCAGCTTACTAGAGCTGTGGAACTAAAGAATGAAAGGACACCGGCTGCTCTGTGGTGAAGCAAGATGTGCATTTGCCTTCCCCTGTTACACACAGCTTGGCTTACTTACATGAGCCATCCTAGGCTGTTTCCTCTCTAAGGACATTGGTAGTTCCTGAGTGTGTGCTGCTGGTGTGGATTGCAGAGAATGATATCTGCGTTAGCTGCTCCAGCTTTGCGGCAAAGGGCTGAGATGGATGGTCTCTGAAGTCCTTCCAACTCCTGCAACGATTGCGTTGCCATGCGCCTATCGCTCCCGTCACCATAATCTGCTACAAATGAGCATTCAAGGCAAAATATTATCCCTCCTTAGCAAATCCTCATGTGTCGGCGACACAGGTTTTTAAAGGTCGCCAGCGTTGGCGCGAGACCCCGGGAACAAATGGTTCGTGTCTCTTTTCTTTGTAGGTGATCGAAAAGCCCTTTCCTCTCCCCACCCCAGCCGAATCGCTTCCCCTGTTCAGCATTCCTCCTCTGCTGCCAAGGCTAAATGGCCCCGAGAAGATGAAAACTTTTCTCCGCGCCCGACTGGATTGATGCTAAAGAAATAATCAACCCCCGGATCGCCGGGCGAAAAGCCATTCGGCAAATGAGCACCGGGACTGCAATCTCGGCTATTAAGAGCCGCCAAGGCTCACTCTAGGATTGGAATTAATTTCCCCCTTCTTCCTCCCAGGGCCTGTTGTGGGGATGCTATAAAAGCTGCTGCTTCAGCTCTTGAGGGGTTTTGGGGGAGGGAGGGGGGAACTGTCCCATGGTGGACCGGCTGTCTCTTTATCTCTAATCCCTCCTTCAGTGCTGGTCGCAGGCAGCTGAACTCACACAGTTAGCACTCACAGTGGACAAATACTTTTTAATTTCTTTCGCTCCCCTGAAGGGCAGAAGAACATCTGCCATATATATATATATTCTCTCTCTCTCTCTCTCTCTCTCTCTCTCTCTCTCACACACACACACACACACGTATCTACATCTATATCACAGTCACAGAAAGTCTATGCTCCACTAGGTCATTGTGCATGTCTGTTTTAATAAAGCTCTTTTGAATTTTGTGAGGGTGGGAATGTGTCTTCCTTATGTAGTTTTTGTTCTATGCTGAAGATGCACATCTTTACCCCAGCTTTATATATACATATGTAGGGCCCACCCTATTACCTTGACTGTAATTTTTTAAAAATAAAACTGTTTTAATACTGCATTTTAAAATTGTTGCAGCACTCCCTGGGAACTTACGGTGAAGGGTGGGCAAGAAGTCTAATAAATAAGAGTGACAAATTAAGTTTGGAAAAGACTTTGAGAAAAAAGAGGGAAAACATCTGTCTCAACCACGAGATTCTTAAAATACAGATGATTTAGCTCTCTGAATAAGGTATGATTCACAGAGATTAAATCCAAATCCCAAGAGCAGCAGCTCTGAGGAAAATCTGTAAGGGGAGATTTAATTTGTCACCCCGAGCAGCAGCCTGGGCTTTGACTTGAAACAGAAGTGGGTGACCAGATCCATCAGCCCAGCATAACCAGAAACAAAGATGGCAGAAACTCACCCAGGGCCTAAAGAGACCCCTGGAGTTTTTAACCGTGAAGCCTGACCACCCCACCCCCAGGAACCAAACCCTTCCACTCCAGGGACCCACATCCAGTGTTAGAAACTCAGATATATAAGCTAATCACCAAAGGGCACCTTAAACAGAGGTTGTAGTCATCGCAATGGAATATCTAGGCACCATTTTATTTGCAATGGATATTATTATTATTACAGTGGTACCTCGGGTTACATACACTTCAGGTTACATACGCTTCAGGTTACAGACTCCGCTAACCCAGAAATAGTACCTCTGGTTAAGATCTTTGCTTCAGGATAAGAACAGAAATTGTGCAGTGGTGCAATGGCGGCAGCGGGAAGCCCCATTAGCTAAAGTGGTGTCTCAGGTTAAGAACAGTTTCAGGTTAAGAACGGACCTCTGGAACGAATTAAGTACTTAACCCGAGGTACCACTGTACACTGTATTATTATTATTATTATTTACTATACCACTTTATAAGGGATGCGGGTGGCACTGTGGGTTAAACCACAGAGCCTAGGGCTTGCCGATCAGAAGGTCAGTGGTTCGAATCCCCGCAACGGGGTGAGCTCCTGTTGTTCGGTCCCAGCTCCTGCCAACCTAGCAGTTCGAAAGCATGTCAAGTTCAAGTAGATAAATAGGTACCACTCCAGCAGGAAGGTAAACGGCGTTTCTGTGCACTGCTCTGGTTCGCCAGAAGCGGCTTAGTCATGCTGGCCACATGACCTGGAAGCTGTCTGCGGACAAATGCCAGCTCCCTCGGCCAGTAAAGCGAGATGAGCGCCGCAACCCCAGAGTCTTCCGTGACTGGACCTAACGGTCAGGGGTCCCTTTACCTTTATACCACTTTGTATTTAAAAGAAAAAAGATCTCAAAGCAGTATACAACACATTGAAACATCAAATCAATCCAGAATAAAATAATTAAAGCTTCAAAGGAAATATTTCAGATCTAAGTGACATTTTGCTTTCCCCTTATTTATTTGCCTACTAAATTTATGTAGCTGCCCCATAGCAGAAGTACTCTAGGATAGTGGTTCCCAATTAGTTAATTACTGAGGACCCCCTATTTTTCAAAAGCCAAGCCATGGACCCCCTACTTTTGAATTTTTTGATAACCCTATGCGCTGGGGGGGGATGTGTGCCCAAGGTGAAGCACAAGTCCCAGAGCCCAGTGTGCCACTCCCAAAAGCAGCGCCACTCAGGACTGGGCTCTTAGCACGCTGAGCTGCTGCGTCCCCCCCCCCCAGCTGCCAGAGGGCGGCCGAGAAGGATGCAGCTACCACACACTGGAGGGCAGCTGAGGGGAGCAGCGGGCAGATGCCCTGCAGGCTCTGTGCTGCTCACGGTACACGCAGACACGCCGTCGCATCTTGCGTTCCATTTGGGATGCGAACGGGGCTCCGGAACGGATCCCCTTCGCATCCCAAGGTACCACCGTACAGTTGCATTGTGTGTCTTTAGACTATTCTCTGGACCCCGAGAAAGGTCTTAATGGCACTATCAGCAGTGAGGCTGAACAAGCACAGAGAGACCAAAATATAATCTGAACACCCTCCACTTACAACTTCTTTCTTTTTGCAATAATTGGGTTGCCACAAACTTAAGCAGGGGTTACCCAATGCTCATTAAATACTTGTTCAGTAGCCCAGAGTGGATCCAGTGAAGTTTTCATTTTTCAGAGGGCAAAAGGGAGGTTGAAGAGTCCACAGCTAAGCTGAGGTTTGAACATGATACTTCCAGGGTCAAGAGTCAAAGGGTGGTTCCTAAATTACAGGAGTGGCGTGGGGTATGCTGCTGGCTAGCAAGGGAACTAATTATGCCAGATCTTCCCAATTGACTGTTCCCACCCATTAATGTTATTGGAGTCTCACGGGATGGAGCCATAGGGAAACAGCAGCCAACAGTGGAACCGTTCCTGTAGCATCTTACAAAATGCATAGTTATATGCATGCAAGCGCCTCAAATTTCTCACATCCAGTAATTCATGACTCTTGCCTCCAAGCCCTACTAAAATGAGAGATTTTGCACAAGTACGACTGCGTACTAACAACTCTCATCCATTTCACTGGGGCGAGAGACGTTTCTAGTGGATGGAGCCTTGTATGTTTAATGCCAATACCACCCAGCTGCCCAAATAAGCCACGTTACACCAGTGACACACCATATTTAATGTGAACAGCGCTCCTGCATTTCTGCAAGCATCTGTCTGCTGCAAATGTTGCTCCTTTCTCTTTTTTTAAACTGGAGTACTGGAGCACTGCGTGGTTTTTAATGGGTAATAAACAGAAGAGCAGAATATCTAAAGGTAACTCTGTGACCTCCATTAATGTCATGTCTGAACATGTTAAACAGTTTAATGGCCCCATTAGGGTCCCAGCTAATGGACGGAAGGCACTAGATATAAATGGCTCCATCTCTGAAGCAAAAGTAGAGGCTGCCTTGGCCCCCCAAAAATGGTGCTTGAAGGAACAAGGTTCTGAAAGGTGCATGGTACCCCTTCACCTTCTGTTGCTTTGATTGGAGACTTTTTCCATTGTGATGCATTTTCAGGGACTATATTGCCTTCTACTGAGCAGGTATCAGAAGACTTCCTGTATCCCCAGTCTACAGATTGGAGAACGGATGCACAGAGAAATTGATGCCTCAGTATCACATGTTCCGTTTCAGTATCTGCTGATTCCTATATTAAAGGCTAGAGAGGGGAAAGGAATTGAAAAACAAACTGCTAATAGTGCTTAAATTTTATGGATCACTATTCCAAAGTGTACATGATTTCAGTCATCTTAACAGGAATCCCGTAAGGTAGCCCAATACAATTCCTTCCGTATTATAGAATGCCTAGGGGCACCTGCTGAGGGACAGCAGCTTGCCTAAGACCACCGATTTGGTTCCTGGGGTGAGCCAAGGTTTGGACTGTGGACCTCTCTACTTGTAGTTCATCCACTATGGAGGACATTGTAGCTCTCCAGATGTTGCTCTCCAGATGTTGCTGGACTCCCAACTGCTATCATCCCTGACCACTAGCCATGCTGGCTGGGGCTGGTGGAAGTTAGAGTCCAACAATGTCTGGCATGCTGCAGGTTCTCTATACCTGCTCTACTACCCTGGCACTCAGGAAGGACCTTAGGCTAGGCAGTGTGAGGGCAGGAAGGGCATGTTTTTACCCCACATAATGTCGGGAGTGAGATGTGACTTGGTGCATTTGTTTGGTGGGAGTTGACTTCTCTGGTCGAGATGAATGGGAATGAGTGGATCTGGGCAAGTGATGGATGCTTTGGATTTGCCCCCCCCCCGCCCCCCAGCATTATGAGAGAGGTTGGACTTTCAGCCTTCTAATGCTTCAAAGGACATTTTGGGTAGTTTATTACAGCAACTTTTTCTGAGTCACTGAGATAAAGGCTGTATGGAAATCTAAAGCAGAAATAAAAATGAAGAAGAGCATCTTTTCTTCCAACTCTCATCACTGCAGGTCTCTTCCATTTTAATCTTTGGAACATCCCGGGGGGGGGGGGGGGAGGTTCGCTTCCAGCTACCATTGGCAGCCCCTCTGTCCTCGCCCTGTTCATTCCGGGAACTGAACAGAGAGAAGAACAGGACATCATCACTGTTGCCCTGCCTTGCTTCCCCAAAAGTCTTGCTCTCCCTGTTCTTCCAGCTCAGTCATCCTCGTCTGACTGTACTTGTCCACAAAACAAATCATCCCTCCTGGTGCCTCTGCTTTGATTTCTTTTTTAGCAATATTTCTCACACGGTGATTTTCATCTGTGTTCCTGCTCTCCCTCCCGTGGCCCCAGGAGAGAGCAGGGTTATGTAGATAGAGAGGGTGTGCAAATAATATATTGTCCCACCTGAGCCAAGCGAATCAACTCTCTCCCCAGAGGGCCTTTAAGATGCAGTGGGGCTGCTGTTTGTTTTGTTTAACTCTTTAAAGCGGATGTAGCTGAACGAAATCAATTGGTTAGGCAGACATGGTATGGGGGAGGGGAATAGCAATCCTGGGACTGAAGATGGCAAGAGGAATTGAGGGCCAGGGGTGGGCCTGAGATTCCACAAAGACAGTCTCCTGCTGTTTGGGTGTGTGTGTTGGGGTAGGGCAATGGAGTCCGGAGGGAAGGGTGAGCAA